GGCAGCGGGCTTCGAAGCCTCTAGCTGCGCGCTGGCTGCCAGTGAAATGCAATGTGGATACGGGGACCTCAGTTCTTGCTCGCAAATGAGCCAAGCAGCTTATCGTTACACCGCGGCGAGGGCAGCAGGCTATCCTGGAAACGCAGGGACCACCAGCACTGGCACCACCACGCCATTAGGGGCCCATCACACCACTCACTCCCATGCCCACGCGCACCATGGGGCCCATGCAACACCCTGCTCCGTTATGGCCGCTAGGTCGCAAGACGTACACCGACACGCTGCCTCCATCTTCCCGTCGGCTATCAATCTGCAGAGTGAGTTATATTGTTATTTCACATAAATCCACTTCTTTCGATTCTTTGAACATTTATAATAGGTCTTTTTTTTAGTGCATGCTTGTTGCTTCAGTTATCAAGTTTCATAAGAATGTTCTTTTTTCGTAAGAATATTCTTTTTGAATGATGGATTTCACAGAAATGTTTGATGGACTTTGTTTTTAATTCCTGCTGTTTTTTGGACATGACCGACATCTATTGAGGCGTGTAGTTTCGAAATGACGAAACAGAGAGATTATCAGATTTGTAAAAACGTTAGCATGGATGGTACATTGTTTGAGGGACCAGTATAAGCTCATGTGATCGATATAAATCACCTTATATCGAGAATAAACTTGTTGCCTCTATGTGTTTGGAAATTTATAACTTGCACTTCTGTTTTCAGTTTCGCTTTCTTTGTCATTTTGTGCCTTGTATGTTGTATCTTCTGATCCAAGTTATGTTTATAAAAATTTGCAACAATACATTAATTTTAAAGAATGTATATTTCAGAAGTGATGTTTCGAAGACCTTTCTGATTAATTTCAGATTAATTTTGTAGCATGTATTCATTATTAATTTTGAGGCTGCCACTTTTGTGTACATAACTAGACTCGTGCAACTATAAATAAAAGAGACACGTTTAAATACGTATGTTGGTTTATCTAACTGATTGGTACGTTGATTTACAAATTGGCTGGGTAATAAAAATTGAATAAAATGGTTGAACTAATGGTTCCATAACCCATGTAACTGAAATTGATCAATTTTTATTATGCGAGAACAAATTGAAATAACAGAAATGCGTGAATCCTCCGGCGTCAGTCCGAAAAAGAAAAACGCACGGAATGACGGAGAATCGAATTAGAATGCGCTCGTTAATTCAACGAAATTCCAGCAGCGAGCAAATCAAACATCGTCCGGCGTTAAAACGGTAGAATTTATGAAGGAACAATCAATTGAAAAGGAAGTTTCCGAAGGCAGAGGGGTCGGGCGGGGCGAAGATCGTGTTTCCATGAAAAAAAGAAGGGTGGTTCTTCTCTCAGGGGAAAGTCGTCTCCATGCTCGAACCTACCACGCTATTTCCTCTGGAAACGACGACAAGATGGCACTGAAAATCAATGGATGTGTCTCGTCCTCTCCCGGCCCCTCTCTTTCGTATTCTTGCCTCTCTTTCTTCGACTGCTCTCCCTCGTTTACTCGTTCCTCTCACCCTTCTGTTGCCCTTCCTCTTTGTCTCATCCTCCCTGGGTTCTGTCTCTCCCTCTACCTCCTCAGTCACTCATTGCTATGGTTACGTTCCTCGGTATCCCAGCCATCCTCACCTATATTCTATAATCTATAAGCATTCTGGAGAATTTTGCGACCTGAACAGAGTACGACCGCACAGATTTTCTTCGTTTATCGCTAAGGGGTGTTGATGATTAAGGATTTTAAGAGAAGGGTTCAGTAAAATTATTTCAACCGGTTCTACCATATTAATGATAGCCAGGATCTATTTAAGGCTCTACCCAGAGATTTTAAGTATAATCGGACCGCAATTTATAGTAAATCCATATAAAATTAACGACGTTAACGCTGGTGAAGTCTTCTATTATTGACGAGAATGGAGATAATCCTTGTGAATGAAAATGTCAATGAACGAATGTATTAACTGGAATAAAACCTTCGTTTCTATTGGACTTATAGGTGGGCTAGGTTATAAGGCGTACTCTGGTCACGATGGCCTCGCGGAGAAGAGAAAACAACGCCGGATACGAACAACCTTCACCTCTGCTCAACTTAAAGAACTAGAGCGTGCCTTCCAGGAGACACATTATCCGGATATCTACACCAGAGAAGAAATCGCCATGAAGATCGACTTGACGGAGGCTAGAGTCCAAGTAAGTCGGATTTCAGACATAAACCTTACCTAATCCTCGCAAATAAAAACTTGATAGAAATGAAAAATTCGAAGAAGTTCCTTTTATTAAACTTCTGTTTATTTAACTACGACTGCAGTTTATTTTTATAATAATGAAATGTTGGTCTTTTTCATTTATGGTAAGGTGAAGTTCAACTGGTAGAAAAAATGATTAATTACGATTGGTAGAATTTGAGATAATTGTAACAGAAGTTAGAGCACATATGCTTTTCAAATATTTACACACTGAAAGTCTTTCAAAAACTTAATTATTTATTAAGGAGCTTTAAGAGGATAGGTTAAAAAATAAATATGGCGAGTAATGACACACTGAATTATTTGCACAAGTTTCCCTATTCTTATAATTTTTGAGGTTATAAAAGCATATTTAAATACATAAATTATACAAATTAAATATAGAAAGTAAATGACATAATATATAAATGATTAAACAGATTTTATATAATAAACTAAAAGAATGTATTGGAAAAGTGAGGAGAATAAAATCAAGAAGGTTTTCTTTGGTCCGCATTTACTCCAGCATCCTCCCATCCACTGTGTCACACAAAATGGAGGGATAAAACGAAGGGACAAGGGTGATGGCGGAACACGGTTCGTGTAATTGCATTACAAGCCCCATTTTCGTTTTCACGGTTACCTGCGAGTCGCTGCTTGATGGATTATACCGTCTAATGTATCTGACGGATTAACTTGAACTTCTTGGAAATCCTCTAGCTAAATCGAATCGATGAAATTTATTATCCTTTCCATCTATCATAAACAATCTTGTTTATTTTGTGAAAGTAAACTGTCTTTTGAATGTTCACTTTGAATATTTCTCTGAGTTTTGAGGGTTGTATTGCGATCTCAAGTGAGTTGCAGTGGATTTTTGTTATATTACCGCTCTTTATATTGCCGGTTGGATGAATAGCAAAGGCAAATTCTTAGTGAATTTTTGAATTTTTAGGTTGATAAATTTTTTGAAGACTGATTGCTAATATTTCTATAATATTAAATACTTAAATTACCAATTTTCCAAATTCCAAATTTCTCAAATTCCACATTTTTCTCAAATTCCAAATTTTTCTCAAATTCCAAATTTCCCAAATTCTAAATTCTCCAAATTCCAAATTCCTCAAATTTCAAATTTCTCAAATTCCACATTTCTCTCAAATTCCAAATTTCTCAAATTCCAAATTTCCCAAATTCCAAATTTCTCAAATTCCAAATTACCTAAATTCCAAATTTCCCAAATTCTGAATTTCCCAAATTCCAAATTTCTCAAATTCCAAATTCCCCAAATTTTAAATTTCTCAAATTCCAAATTTCCCAAATTCCAAATTCCCCAAATTCCAAATTTCTCAAATTCCAAATTTCTCTCAAATTCCAAATTTCTCAAATTCCAAATTTCCTAAATTCCAAATTTCTCAAATTCCATATTTCTCAAATTCCATATTTCTCAAATTCCAAATTTCCTAAATTCCAAATTTCTCAAATTCCCAATTTTCCAAATTTCCCAAATTCCAAATTTCCCAAATTCCAAATTTCCCAAATTCCAAATTTCCCAAATTCCAAATTTCCCAAATTCCAAATTTCCCAAATTCCAAATTTCTCAAATTCCAAATTTCCCAAATTCCAAATTTCCCAAGTTCCAAATTTCTCAAATTCCACATTTCTCTCAAATTCCAAATTTCCTAAATTCCAAATTTCTCAAATTCCATATTTCTCAAATTCCAAACTCACTCCCCAAATTCCAAACTCCCCAAATTCCAAACTCCCCAAATTCCAAACTCCCCAAATTCCAAACTCCCCAAATTCCAAACTCCCCAAATTCCAAACTCCCCAAATTCCAAACTCCCCAAATTCCAAACTCCCCAAATTCCAAATCCCCCAAATTCCAAACTCCCCAAATTCCATATTTCCCAAATTTCTAAATTTCCAAATTTCCAAACTCCTAAATTACCAAATCCCTATATTACCAAATCCCTCTATTCCCAAATTCCTAAATTCCCATATCCTTGAATTTATAAGTCCCTAAATTCCCAAATCCCCAAATCCCCAAATCCCTAAATCTCCAAATCCTCAAATTCTTAAATTCTGAAATTTCCAAATCCCCCAAATCCACAAATCCCCAAATCCCCAAATCCCCAAAATCCAAATTTCCAACTCCCCAAATTTCAAATTTCACAACCATCAAATCAAAATAAAAAAGTTTCATTACAAAGATAAAGATTGTTGTCGTAAACGTCTATAAAGATCAGAAGCAAGGTTATGTTCATCTCAAACGTGACACTGGCGTCGACAAACGGGACACACTATCAGGACGTACCTTCCTGATCCTGATCTTCTGTAATAATAATCATGATCGCCAATCAGAGACAGAGGTTAATGCCCCGTGAAACGATGCCGGTGCCACATTGTACTTGGAACAGCTCTGCTAAGATTAAATTTATTACGACTTCGAACGACACACGCTTCGACCATAATCTACTATCCGTATGAACGAAACTCCTCTAAATATATACACTAATCGTTGAATATTACATCACCATAACAGCTCGAACGTTAATTTTATTTATTTCGTGTTTTGGTACTATTTCATTCTATCAGGTATTGTTCTTGGTATAATTTATGAACGTGATACAACGTTTTAAAGCGTTAAAGAACGTTTAAGTTGTAATTTATTATTGTAAGAAGGTCAATGAATATTTGTTGAAGGATACATCATAGGGGTAGATATTATGCGAGGTATATGGTAATTCAGCACGAAGTTACTATCAATTTTCTAGTAGTTTGCGGCGCCACGGGCCGACCGCCATTTCCAAGGAGGTTTGCCATGACGAAGGGCAGCCCTCAGTCGGTTCGAATCTTCCCTAATTCGTGGCTATCCAGGTGTCATCTCATATATTTACACTAAATTACTCAACTTTCAATCTTCTTAAATTTTATCTTTATAGAAAGTTTCAATCTTCTTATTCTATGCTGCGTAACCTCTTGTCAGACATGTTTCTTTTCACCCTCCTATGCTACACTGTCTCCTGGGAAAAAGAAATTCATATTGTTTCTACAATCTCTTCGAGACCTTCAAAGTGCTTTCGACACTCTCGTTTCGTCGTGACTCAATTTAAATTTCAGTTGAAATGATCCTTTTATTGAGTACATGGAAATTAGCTGCTTATAAACATCAGCAGATGTTGAAGATTTTCTCGATTTATCAACACTGTCATTCGCATCTTATGTCAAGCTCAAATTAAGGAAGAAACTAGTCATACTTCGCAAGTTACTCTCATAACATTTGTTCTATACTAAGTTTCTTGATATGCCATTCAAATGGACTTGAACCATCAGTTGATGTCATAGGTGACATTTTAACATTGTCACAGATGTCCAAAGCGTCAGACGCAAAACTGATCGATAACGTTCCACTTGTCCCAACATGAGCGGTCCGTACACTGAAATTTACAAACATGCGTGAAAACTAGCAAGTAGCAGCTGAAACTACCAACTGAAATTTTGTTCTATACTAAGTTTCTTGATATGCCATTCAAATGGACTTGAACCATCAGTTGATGTCATAGGTGACATTTTAACATTGTCACAGATGTCCAAAGCGTCAGACGCAAAACTGATCGATAACGTTCCACTTGTCCCAACATGAGCTGTCCGTACACTCAAATTTACAAACATGCGTGAAAACTAGAAACTGGCAGCTGAAACTACCAACTGAAGCAAGCAACGGCCAACTAAAATTAGCATCTAGCAACTAAAACTAGCAACTGGCAACTAAAACTAGCAACAAACAGAAATGCACCAAATTACCAGTAGCCTGGGGCTAACGTTCCAGTTGTCCCAACATGAGCGGTCCGTACACTCAAATTTGCAAATATGCGTGAAAACTAGCAAGTAGCAGTTGAAACTACCAACTGAAACTAGCAACGACCAACTAAAATTAGCATCTAGCAACTAAAACTAGCAACTGGCAACTAAAACTAGCAACAAACAGAAATGCACCAAATTACCAGTATACTGAGGCTGACGTTCCACTTGTCCCAACATGAGCGGTCCGTACACTCAAATTTGCAAATCCACTTGTCCCAACATGAGCTGTCCGTACACTCAAATTTACAAACATGCGTGAAAACTAGCAAGTAGCAGCTGAAACTACCAACTGAAACTAGCAACGACCGACTAAAATTAGCATCTAGCGACTAAAACTAGCAACTGGCAACTAAAACTAGCAACAAACAGAAATGCACCAAATTACCAGTAGACTGAGGCTGACGTTCCAGTTGTCCCGACATGAGCTGTCCGTACACTCAAATTTACAAACATGCGTGAAAACTAGCAAGTAGCAGTTGAAACTACCAACTGAAACTAGCAACTAGCAACTGAAACTAGCAACTAGCAACTAAAACTACCAACTAAAACTAGCAATTATCAAGTGAAACCAGCAACAAACAGAAATGCACCAAATTACCCGTAGACTGAGGCTAACCAGATCCCTCGTAAAGCTGCATTCCACCAGACGGCCAGGCCTTGATGACCCCGCTATTGAATTAATCTCGTATCCAGATCGTGTTCCACTTCTTTCAATTGAATTCAGTCCCTTACGACCGCGTAAGAGCAACGAGCGTCCCTTGATTGTTGGTCCACCAGGCTTGTTCACCCTCTTCTGTTCCGATGCTGCATCCATTGATGACACCCAGTGAGGGGTGCAGTGTGTCGCGTGGCGACACGTTCCGCTGTTTCTGAGTCACATGTCATTCCGTATGAATTACAACTCCATTAACGTTCTGGGCAACCTGTGAGCATACATAATGTTCATGAGTTGAGCATCAGCTCCTCGGGCAAGTGGGTGATTTATGGGGATCGATGAGAAATCGCTGAAGAAATGAGGTGTTGGTGCATTGTCAAGGCCGGTGATAAATTTGACTTTTGGTGTTTTTTTAAGGTGTTTGTTTTGAACTGCTTATTTTCTTGGAGTGTTTAGGAAGAATTTAGGAAACCTAGAAAGCCTTCAAGGTACAGATTGTTTAGAAACCTAGCAATTTAAAAAGCCGAGGAACCTAAAGTGGCTCAGAAACAAAGAATGACTAGGAACCTTTAAAAATAGATACCTATAGAGTTTAGAAATTTAGACAGACTAAAAATCTAGGAAGTTTATGTAACCAAAAAGCGTAGACACCAATAGAGTCTAGGCGTTTAGACTGGCTAAAAATCTAGGAAGTTTATGTACATAAAATACCTATACACCTATAGAGTCTAGGAGCTTAGACAGACTAAAAATGTAGAAGGCCTAGGTACCTATACAATCTAGATACCTACAGAACCTAGAAGTTTAGACAGATTAAAAATCTGGAAAGTTGATGTACCCAAAAGACTGGGACACGTATAGAGTCTAGCAATTTAGATAGACAAAAGAACTAGAAGGTCTAGGTAGTTAATAAAATCTAGATACCTATATAAAGCCTGGGAGTTTAGACAGATTAAGAGTCTAGAAGGTCCAGATAGCTATGACATCTAGAAACGTAGAAAGTCTAAGAATCTGGAGGATTTAGAAATCCATAGAGGGTTGAAACCTAAAGATCCTAAAAACCTAGAGATCCTAGAAACCTTGAGAGACTAGAAACCTAGAAAGCTCATAAATCTAGGGACTGCTCAAATCTAGAGATCCTAGAGATCCTAGAGATGTTAAAACTTTTAGAAATCCTAGAAAACTAAAGATCCTAGAGATCCTAGAAACCCTTGAGATGCTAAAGCTCTTAGAGATCCTAGAAACCTAGAGGTCTAGATATCCTAAAAACCTAAAGATCCTAGAGATCCTAGAAACCTAGAGGTCCTATAAATCCTAGAGATCCAAGCGATCCAAGAGATCCTAGAGATCCTAGAGATCCTAGAGATCCTAGAAATTCTTGAGATGCTAAAGCTCTTAGAGATCCTAGAAACCTAAAGGTCCTAGAAATCCTAGAAATCCTTGAGATGCTAAAGCTCTTAGAGATCCTAGAAACCTCAAGGTCCTAGATATCCTAAAAGCCTAAAGATCCTAGAGATCCTAGAAACCTAAAGGTCCTATAAATCCTATAAATCCTTGAGATGCTAAAGCTCTTAGAGATCCTAGAAACCTAAAGGTCCTACAGATCCTAAAAACCTAAAGATCCTAGAGATCCTAGAAATCCTTGAGAAGCTGAAGCTCTTAGAGATCCTAGAAACCTAGAGGTCCTAGATATCCTAAAAACCTAAAGATCCTAGAGACCCTAGAAACCTGGAGGTCCTAGAAATCCTAGAGATCCAAACGATCCAAGAGATCCTAGAGATTCTAGAGATCCTAGAGATCCTAGAGATTCTAGAGATCCTAGAAACCTAGAGATCCAAGTGATTCAAGAGATCCTAGAGATGCTAGAGATCCTAGAGATTCTAGAGATCCTAGAGATCCTAGAAACCTAGAAATCCTAGAAACCCAGAGACCCCTGAAACCTAGAGACCCTGGAAACCCAAAACTTCCTGAAACCTAGTGATCCTAGGAATCTAAAGATCTTAGAAATCTAGAGATCCTATAAACCTAGAAATCTAGCGAACCCAGAAATCTAGAGACTCGAAAAACCCAGAAAGCCTAAGATCCTAGAGTACCTAGAAATCTATGAAGCCTAAAGCCCTAGAGAGCCTATAGTACCTATAAACCAAAAAGCCCAAATACCCAAAAACCCAGAAATTCCCCAGAAAATGCTAAGAACATAAAGAAATGCTTACCTTCGCAAAGTAATTCACTATACATAGAACAGCAGAAAATATCAGAGAAGAATAATCAGAAAAATGTTCCCGACTGAATAAGACAAAATGGTGCGCGAACAGGAAGACTTAGAAAAGATCAAAAAGCAACGAATGGGCAATAACACTTCCTGACGAAGGATCCTCGGGACGAGGCAGGGTGGTGGCACAAGAGGGATGCGAAATGGGGAAAACACTCGAGCTGGCACGGCACTGCTGGTCCGAGGGTGGCTGATACACAAGGGGCCCATGCCCGGAGTGTGCCCTGGTAATTGCGAGCTCTATGTAGATCCACTTACGGTGATTAAAAACTGTCCTGCTGGGTATCATCCACGTAGAACGACGGGAGCTACAAACACAGCCACCGGGGACACGGTTCGCGTTAACGCTGGAACTTCTTCGGCTTTGGTCCAAGTGTTGCGATTAACAGGGGATTGTTAAGATACGATCTCTGAATTTGTTTTGTGTTCAACACGGTTTTTGATGGTTATGTAGGGTAATTGTGTTGTAGCTAATTTTGAAATGTCTTGCACTTCTAATTAACGTTATTCGAGGTGAAATGTAAGATTTTAACATTTAGAATATTCTGAAATAGTTTGATACGATTGTTCTATGTGGCACTTGTGGCATATCAGTTTGGACCTCGTACTGTTTATCTATGATTTTCTCGACATTTGTATCGGTTATAGTTAATTATTATTTCAATGTTAAGATAAATGGGAAGTTGAAATATTAAGTATTTTACATTTAGCAATGTTTGCTTGTACAGTTTGTAGTTAGCGTCGATTTAAAAATTCTTTGTGCAAAGGTTTGCCATATTTGTCACGAGGGAGACATAAGCTAAACATTGAAAACCTTAAAAACCTTGAAGAATTATATTATTAATATTGATATTATTCAAAATATAAAACTTCGTATCTAACTTGAATTGGAACATCCAAAATATTTTGACAAAAATTTAACCCGATGATTCAAATATATTAAGTATTAATTATTACATACTTGACAGTTTAATAATAGTGAGTGTGATTCATTCGCACATGGTCTTTCTTCAATTAGCCAAATAAGTTGAGGCCATCATAGCCACCGGTCTGCAGTCGGAATCTTGATTAAGAGATGCATCGATTGGATGGGCCAATACCATTCGACTGATGAATAAATCGTCTGGACAGATCTCATTAACCCTGCATCCACTTTCGTATCTGACCACTACTCTGACGATTCACTGTCACTTCCGAGTCCAATTCACTGACCACTCTAAATAATTCTACTTCTTTAAAACATTTGTGAACACCTAACTGCATCTATCCTCAAAAAGATATATTTGTGAATATAAGAGACATGCATGTATCACACATTTAACTATCAATATAAGTTACATATATTTCTCATATGATTGTTAGTAAATCATAAATAAATGGTGCACATATTTTTAATGCAATAGGTGTGTATTTCTAATAAATGAACGTATAAATTCATATACATATGTGTAGCATACATAGTAGTGTACATATGAATACTTATATACAGTAGTATGCATGGTAGTACACATATGTATATATACATACAGTAGTATGCATTGTAGTATACATATGTGCACATACATACAGTAGTATGAATAGAAGCACACATATGTTTATGTCCATACAGTAGTATACATAATAATATTCATATGTATACACACATACAGCAGTATGCATTGTAGTATACATATGTGCACATACATACAGTAGTATGAATAGAAACACACATATGTATATGTCCATACAGAAGTACACATATGTATGCATACATACAGAAGTATGAATAAAAGCACACATATAACAGTAGTATGCATGGTAGTACACATATGTATATATACATACAGTAGTATGCATTGTAGTATACATATGTGCACATACATACAGTAGTACACATAGTAGTACACATATGTATATGTCCATACAGAAGTACACATAGTAATACACATATGTATACATACATGTATACAGTAGTATACATATACATTTTTCAACGCAAACATAAATAAGATACAAACATACTCCCACACTCATACTTCCCACAACATAAAAATATAAATTAACAACATTCCTAAATATCTCCTAATATAGAGCAAAAATAAATTTTCTAAATCTACCCCATAACCCAGGGTGAATTTTCTCCAATTCACGAACTTATCACAAAAATAGCGAGACGCAGGTGAATCCGAAGTATACGAGATTCACACAGTAGCCTAAGGGTGGAACAATTCAAGAAATCCTTGGTTAACTGGTTCAGAAGGAGGAAATCAGAGCGGGTCCAAAGCGTGTGGGGTTAATCGAACGAGTAAATACGCAGCAGACTCATAGAATTCCTAATGATTCGTCCATAAGCTTGTAGGGTTTGCTCGCTATAAATGTTTGTACTGGCATAACAAATGTTCTACTTTCCCTGCTCTTCATTAACAAGGGGAATAATAAAGAGGAACACAGTCCGTCGGATGGCTTAAACTTTTGTTAATTCCCTAACATTTCACCTTTGTTTAAAAAATCTTTTCTATTACATTCCCTTTGTTACTGATTTTAACATCAGTTTAATTCTAAACAACATTTATCTCTCATTTAGAGATAACAGGGTTATCAGCACGTAAAGGGTTACACAAAGAAATTGTAAAAGGGGTGGTTTTTCATCACAAACACGAACCACAGTCAGCACTCAATTAAATAGGAAAATAGTTGAAAATTAACTTTCGTCGTCTCAAATTGAATAAAATTTTATTAAAGTTTCACTGACAGCCAACGAATATAATGAACGAAAAGAAAATTCACAGAAGCCGATTGGCAAAAGAGCCGGAGGCAACGAAGCGCGTGAAACGGTGCTTAAATATTTATCCAAAACGAGTCGGACATCTGTCGTCGTGGCTGGTCGCATTTTATTTAGGTGCACCGTATTTATTTAACATTAACGCCAGCGCGTAGCCTCCCTAATTCACGCCGTCGTCGTCGCCGTTGTCGTCGTGGTCCGTTCTGCAAACAACGGCACACATGCTACGGTCTCTTCGGGGTTTGGTCCGTGGCCAAATACGAATTATTACCGCTCTCCTCGTGTACACGTAGCTTCTGTCTGTATTACACAACTTTTTTTTCATCGTAGTCTCGTCATTTCGCTAAACTTTTAGGTTCTTTTATATTTTTTGCGAGATGTGATAGAAAATTGGTGTATGAGGTTAGAATTAGGGTTGGGTTAAGTTATTTAATGTATTGATCAGGTTGATGCGAGTTATTAAGTCAGTTGTAATTGATGGTTAATGAGAATTTGGGAATTTGGGATTTTGGAATTTTGGGATTTTGAGAATTTGGGATTTTGGAAATTTGGGATTTTGGGAATTTGGGATCTTGAGAATGTGGGATTTTGGAAATTTGGGAATTTGAGAATTTGGGTTTTTGGAAATTTGGGATTTTGGAAATTTGGAATTTTGGGAATTTGGGATTTTAGAAATGTGGGAATTTGAGAATTTGGGATTTTAGAAATTTGGGATTTTGGGAATTTGGGATTTTGGAAATTTGGGATTTTGGAAATTTGGGATTTTGGGAATTTGGGATTTTAGAAATGTGGGAATTTGAGAATTTGGGATTTTAGAAATTTTAGATTTAGAGAATTTGGGATTTTGGGAATTTGGGATTTTGGGTATTTGGGATTTTAGAAATTTGGGATTTTGGAAATTTGGGATTTTAGAAATTTGGGATTTTGGGAATTTGGGATTTTGGGAATTTGGGATTTTAGAAATTTGGGATTTAGAGAATTTGGGATTTTGGAAATTTTGGATTTTGAGTATTTGAGATTTTGGAAATTTGGAATTTTGAGAATTTGGGATTTTGGAAATTTGGGAATTTGAGAATTTGGGATTTCAGAAATTTGGGATTTTGAGAATCTGGGATTTTGGAAATTTGGGAATTTGAGAATTTGGGATTTTGGAAATTTGGAAATTTGAGAATTTGAAATTTTAGAAATTTGGGATTTTGGAAACTTGGAATTTTGGAAATTTGGGAATTTGAGAGTTTGGGAATTTAAGCACATGGAAACTAGGGAATTCAGAAATCTGTAAATTGAGAGACTTGAGAATTTAGAAATTTGGTAATTTGCACTGAAGCCCTCGAAAATTCCCCAAACCCAAATATTGACAACCTCTCCAACCCTTCATTAGCCCTGTTACCCCTGATCATACACACCCTGAAAATTTCAGAGCCATAAGAAAATATTCATTAACGATATACCATGAATATGTAAGTTGTCACGCTGATTTCCATGTATCCGTTCATCGGCGGCAGAGGGTTAAACCTCCCGGAAGTACAAGCGACAAAAAAGTATCAGTAGAATCTTCAAACACGCTCAACTCGTTCAAATTTCTCGAACGACGTTCTCGTTCAGCGGCAGCTGATAAAAATCCAATAGCAGTGTTTGCCGTCCGGAAAGGGCAATCACGTTCATCATGGTGTCCCGCGCCCCTGACTCTCTGATCCACCCCTTTCCCCCTCCATCGAGTCCCTGCCAGTCAGCCTCGTGCTAGGGATTCCGAACGTAGCCGCCCCTGGAAAATCTAGGGGTGGGATCCACGTGCACACGCGTCGAGAAGCGAACGAGGGAGGGAGACCGAGGGGATGCTGGAGAGAGGGTGGCTTTGCTGGTCAGATAAACGGTAAAGCAAATAAATCCGCTACTTTAACATGCAGGTCACCGCCGCTTTCCGTTTATTTTATTCGTTAAATATTTCATTTGGCCAACTAGAGCCAATTACGAGCGCCGCCTGACGAGCGAAGTGACCAGACACGCGCGCTGTCTCTCTATATCGCTCTCTTACTCGTCATACGTTTGTTGTGGAAAGATTTTATGGAAAAACCTTTTTTATCGTCGATCTGATTTTATTCGATAACTTTCGTAATATTGTTACAAATATTATATATGCTTAACAAATTGGTAGAGGTTTCTTGCAATATTGTGTTACTTGTATGATAATAATATACTGAACATTATAATATAATAATTTATGAGCAAACATATTGTTATTCATTATATCGTTACGTGTTAGGTCCTCTTTTTAACTGTCCGCTTTATATCTGACCACTTTATGTCTGACCGCTTTATATCTGACCGTTTTACATCTGATCGCTTTATATCTGACCGTTTTATACCGACCCGTTATATTGTTACGTGTTAGGTCCCTTTCGTAGCTGACCGCTTTATATCTGACCATTTTATGTCTGGCCGCTTTATGTCTGACCGCTTTATATCTGACCACTTCATATCTAACCGTCTTATACCGACCCGTTATACTGTTACGTGTTAGGTCCCTTTTGTATCTGGCCGCTTTACATCTGACCGCTTTATATCTGACCGCATCACATCTGACCGCTTTATATCTGACCGTTTTATATCTGATCACTTTATATCTGACCGTTTTATACCGACTCGTTATATTGTTACGTGTTAGGCCTCTTTCATATCTGACCGCTTTATATCTGACCATTTTATGTCTGGCTGCTTTATATCTGACCGCTTTATGTCTGACCGGTTTATATCTGACCACTTCATATCTGACTGTCTTATACTGACCCGTTATACTGTTACGTGTTAGGTTCCTTTTTTATCTGGCCGCTTTACATCTGACCGCTTTATATCTGACCGCATTATATCTGACCGCTTCATATCTAACCGTCTTATACCGGCCGCTCCACATAAGTACTTCATGCGTACCAATACAAACCTAACCAATTCAGTTAAATTTGAATACTCTTCCTATAACAGTTAGACTGTTAGTCATCTTGGCAAAATAACTATGCTCTACAAAAGAGCATTCGTTAACCGGAATACTGTTTGCAGGTATGGTTCCAGAACCGCCGCGCAAAGTTCCGCAAGCAAGAGAGGCTCGCCCAGCAGAAGTCGAGCTCGCAGAGCGGCATCGGTGTGGACAGCGGAGCATCGAGCCCCGTCGCGGGCAACGTGAAAGCGGAGGGCCGTTCTCCGAGAAGTCCAGCGACGCCACCAGGCAGCTCCAACAGCGTGCTCTCCTCGAACGAAGTGAAACCGATCGCGAATCCGAACTTGGTCAGCGTGAAGCACTCGAGCGACACCTCCGCAGAAGGAACCTCGCCGAACACCCGAGGAAGCAATGGCGGCGGAGGAACATGGGGCTCCTGTAGCCCCAGGCCCTTCTCCGCGTTACCGCCGTACTTGCTCGATCCGCTACCGCTGAAAACCGCGAACCTGTACTAAGGCGATTCGAATGTCGTTCGAACAAGTTTCCGAACGTTTTGGACTGGTCTGATTTCGAAGTGGTTCGAAGTGAGGCAGTTGGAAATTCGCGGTGAGTGTTGGTGACGACGATAATCCATCCCAGCAGAATCGTGTAAATATAGAGAATATCGTGTGCTGTTCAGAGGATGTCGAGGCCGTTCATGGTGCAATTGTGATGGAGAAAACCACGATTAGGTTATTTCTTTTCCCGTTACGAGAGTTAGCGATTCATGATTTACTGAACTGAATTTAGTAGTCCTTAAGCGAACGGCCTCGAAACGCGCTCGAAAATAGATGCTGATATCTGTGTACCGTCCTAATTCCTCACTGATTAATTAAACAGTGTCCAGCCACCAAGTTACAGAGACGTTTAAAAACAAAACTAGCAGTCCCCGGAGTTGCAATTAACAACTCCTTAGATGGACTTACGTCTCGCACTCGATGTCACTTGCAATCGTGCGATTATTGTGTGTGAACGATTCTATCGCTATAGATCGTACGATGCTGATCACATAACAATTGTGGACATAACACAAGCTCCACACAATTGTAGAGCTAGCGAACACAGTGACATTATGTATGGGAAGTACGTTCCATCTTTAACGGTTAAGGTTTTGATTTTGGACGTCTTGGACAGTTTGCGTGACGAGGGAACCGTTTACGGGACTCTGAACAGCGTCGTTCGTGGATAAGTGTATCGAGGACCGGCGCCTGTACAGTTGTTGCTATAAATATAGAATATTAGTGTTTTACACCGTAACTAGTACTTACCGTCGAACGGGAACAAGTTCCCATTCGTCCAGCCAAGACAAAGACGATGTAGCTCCGACGTATCATTGTCCATTCACAGTATACATAAATCCACAGAATTATCCATTAGCGTGTAAGGATTTATTAAGGTCCATGTAAGGCCGCGTACACGTCGAACGAAGAGTGCAGGTGCCACCTTTGTGAGTGACGGGAATTTGGAATGGGGGTCTTCGACATTTGGAGAAGTTTGCGAGTGCGGGATTTAGGAGTTGTGGGAATTTTGGATTTGGAGGTTTAGGAATTTCGAGATTTGAAAGTTGCGATTCAGGAGTCAAGAGTTAAGAATTGGGGACTCAGAAGTGGGATGCTTGGAAGTTGGGGGTTTCAGAGTTAGGATATATGGAAGGAACTTAGGGACTTAGGACGTTTGCGAGTTTATTGGGGGACTTGGAGATTAAGAAATTTGGGATTTGACTTAGGCTGGGTATTAGAGAATTGGACACTTAAGATTTGAGGACTTGGTATTTGAGAATTTGGGTATTTAAGGATTTGAGGACTTGGTATTTGAGAATTTGCGGAGAAGTTTGAAGGCTTTGGAAATTGGAGAATTTGAACATTTGGAAAATGGAGATTTAGAAATTTAGAAGCTTGAGAGTATTTGGGAAATTTATCATTTTAGAGGAAACCTAGGTGGCGCTAGTAGCTTCGGCAAATTCGTTACGCGTGTACGCGGCTTAAGTTAGTCGCAGACATGAGTGTGATGGTAAGAAAGTAATCGAAGGAGAATAAACTGGAAGTAAAGGCCGTTCCTGAATGTCGAAGGAAAACTTATCGCAATTGGTCGATCGCGAAGTTAATCCTTAAACCGACAAAATGTAATATCGATCGTTTAATCTTTAAGTGGTCGCCTCGGGGATCGAATGAACACAGGGGGTCTGGCGTTCTAGAAATCGAGAAATGATATTTATTTTCCACAACAGTCGCCGATGGCGCGTTGTACATCGTCAACGTACGCGCGGCTACTTAAAGATTAATGTTCTGTTACGTTATATTGCGCCGACGCTACGAAAGCTTCCGGTTTAAGGGTTAGAACCTAACTCGCACGTTCTCTCTCTCTCTCTCTCTATGTGTGTGTGTGTATGCGCCGTCGATATTGAAACTATTTTTATATAGTAAATGCTTCGGGCGATTGCTGAGCGCGCGAGGCGCATCATTTGCATCAATTTAATTCCCGAACGATGACTTTTCCTTCGACGCGTCTTCGATCTGACAAATGGAATGTCGAGTGCCGTCGAGACACGATGTTCGTCGCTTCCCTTTTCAAACACAGGTCCACAACCCAGCCCCAACCCATAGCCCACAATTTTTCCGTTCGTTCCTTTTCGAAATATACATTTATTGAAAATAATCGTTCATTTTTTTGTTTTATTCGTCGTCGTTACATCGTTGCTCCTGATCGCGTTTCGAGCAGCGACGAGCCGATGATCGCTTCGAGGTTCGTTCGAGGTTAACAAATTTTGAAACGTCTCGGAAGCCTTGAATCTTCAGAACGCAAGATAATGTTTCAAGACTTCGAAGACTATCGAATTATTTCAGGCTATTAAAATTTCTCAGTGCTCTTCATCGAATCAAAGTGATGGAAAAGTCAACAGTGATCGAATTATCAGAAATTGCCCATTATTCTCCATTTGTACTTTGCGTTGTTCGCGTTCCCCTGATCCCTGGGACATAAAAAGATCTTTCATCTCGCTTCAACAATACGGTACAGTTCCACGTCAAAGCGTAGCGCCATCGCATCAGAGATTAACCTTCCAAGTTTTGGCGGGAAAGCGCTACATTTTGGCGGGAACAGTCCCAGAATCGAGGTGTACAAGATCCAGGGTCCAGGGGATCGCGAACACGCGTTTCGCGGACAGTCGGCATAGAAAAGTAACAAAAATCAATTTGTCACTCGTTTCACGATCGTGGATCGTGATCGGTTTGCGTCTCGGTCGTTGGCGCGCACGCGTTTCCGGATCGGTGTTGCGCGCTATGGTCGTTCAGCGAAAAGAGAAACGAATGTTATCCATTGTACGGAGCAGCGTGTTTTCTTCGTGGTCTCGGTGTTAGTCGAGGAAGTCAGGCGCCTATACATATACAATTCCTAACTCGCACGTTCTCTCTCTCTCTCTCTCTATGTGTGTGTGTGTATGCGCCGTCGATATTGAAACTATTTTTATATAGTAAATGCTTCGGGCGATTGCTGAGCGCGCGAGGCGCATCATTTGCATCAATTTAATTCCCGAACGATGACTTTTCCTTCGACGCGTCTTCGATCTGACAAATGGAATGTCGAGTGCCGTCGAGACACGATGTTCGTCGCTTCCCTTTTCAAACACAGGTCCACAACCCAGCCCCAACCCATAGCCCACAATTTTTCCGTTCGTTCCTTTTCGAAATATACATTTATTGAAAATAATCGTTCATTTTTTTGTTTTATTCGTCGTCGTTACATCGTTGCTCCTGATCGCGTTTCGAGCAGCGACGAGCCGATGATCGCTTCGAGGTTCGTTCGAGGTTAACAAATTTTGAAACGTCTCGGAAGCCTTGAATCTTCAGAACGCAAGATAATGTTTCAAGACTTCGAAGACTATCGAATTATTTCAGGCTATTAAAATTTCTCAGTGCTCTTCATCGAATCAAAGTGATGGAAAAGTCAACAGTGATCGAATTATCAGAAATTGCCCATTATTCTCCATTTGTACTTTGCGTTGTTCGCGTTCCCCTGATCCCTGGGACATAAAAAGATCTTTCATCTCGCTTCAACAATACGGTACAGTTCCACGTCAAAGCGTAGCGCCATCGCATCAGAGATTAACCTTCCAAGTTTTGGCGGGAAAGCGCTACATTTTGGCGGGAACAGTCCCAGAATCGAGGTGTACAAGATCCAGGGTCCAGGGGATCGCGAACACGCGTTTCGCGGACAGTCGGCATAGAAAAGTAACAAAAATCAATTTGTCACTCGTTTCACGATCGTGGATCGTGATCGGTTTGCGTCTCGGTCGTTGGCGCGCACGCGTTTCCGGATCGGTGTTGCGCGCTATGGTCGTTCAGCGAAAAGAGAAACGAATGTTATCCATTGTACGGAGCAGCGTGTTTTCTTCGTGGTCTCGGTGTTAGTCGAGGAAGTCAGGCGCCTATACATATACAATTATGGCGATGCGCGCGAACGAACGATCGGCCATGTAACGGTTTGCCCGCCGTTCGTTTGCGCGCACGCGTGTCCGGATATAATTTAGCTTTTGCGTTTATATTTATATTCGTATATATATATATGAGACTGGTTCGCGAGGGTGGTCGATTAGGCCATCGTCAGGGTGCCCGCGCCCATGCCGAATCCTACGCCCTTGGGCCCGAAATTTCGGTTGTAACAACCGCGACAGTAGATGTCCCCGTCCGGACCGTCGTTCAGGTTCGTGGAGTCTAACGAACGATGGCACGCGCCGCAGCTGAAGCAACGCTTGTGCCACACGCGGTTCTTCGAGATCATCTGCTCGGCGGCGTACACCGGGTATCCGCAGCGCGCGCAACCGTGCCCGTCGTTCCGCTTCTGGCCGACTTGGGGCTTCGCGTCGATGCTGCAACAAACCACATCATTACCCTCGTATCTAGACCTGGCCAGCTTCACAATTAACTATAAGGCAATTCACAAATGGTCAGATTCTTAAAGCGATTACTTACTATGAAGGAGCGTGTTCTGAGTCCGTCGAAACAAGAGTCGGTTTATGGCCGAATCCGAAACCTTTGGGTCCGAACAATTTACTATAGCAGGACCGACAGTGGATCTCCTTGTCGGGGCCGTCGCAGGCAAGCATGGAGTCCAGTGGTCGGTGGCATTCTGCGCAGTTGAAGCACTTCTTGTGCCACATGGTGCCTTTGGCGAGCTGTTGTTCAGCGGCGAACACCATACCACCGCAACGGGGGCATCCTTGTCCGGCGGGTGCCTTGATCGAGGTCGTGTCGGGATTGTAGAATGGTCGGCTGGCCGAGATTTCTTCCTCCCTAAACGAAAACGCCATTTTGATTCTCCTTGCTAGATTTCAACCTTGACTCTCCTTGCTAACTTTAAGAAGCTTAGGACTTCTTTAGGGAGGATCTGAGTCTTACTCACGTTAAGCCGTCAGTTTGCAGGAATCCTGATCCACATGCGAATCCGTATCCGTGCGGTCCCCATTTCTTTCCGTAGCAGGTCTTGCAGTAGACATCTTTGTCAGGACCGTCGCAGGCGATGATGGAGTCGAGGGTTTTGGTGCAGTCGCGACACTTGTAGCACTTCCTGTGCCACTCGCGACCCTTTGCCAGCACTTGTTCGGCGGCAAACACAACGCCGCCACAGCGTGGACAACCCTTGCCTGGTGGGGCCTTGATTATGGCGGTGTCGATCACGGTCGTACGAGGAGCGGCGTCGCTGCATTCGAAAGGCTAACCTTATCCTTCCGTTCTTTCGGTCTTCAAAAGTCATCCAATTTCGAGTCACTCGAATAATTCGGATTCGAGTGACTCGATTGGGAAGGCACACTTCTCAAAAAACAAACTGTTATATCAAAATGCATTCAAGGAATGAGATACAAAGGGCAAGTTAATAATTTTAGATTATTCTCTGCGGACAATTTTTCACTTACCGGGCGAACATTTTTTTTATAACAATTATCCGCAGAGATCCGCATGCAACAGTTTAAACAGGATTGCAGAAGGATCAAACTCGGAAATAACTCTTAAATTTCTTTGGGAAATCTTTTGGTAAGTGAAGGTATTAAGGTGAAATAATTAATCAGAATTAGTAACTCGACACTCTGAAGCGATTGAATTGCTGAAAGAGAGTAGTGGGGGTGAGTAATAGCGCAAAGCGTTAAGGCGTCGACTCGTGTGTACAGTAGAACGTCAATACCTACGAAGCCTCTTTACCGATGGTCGGTAATCGAAAAGAAATTATTGACGTTCTACTGTACACGTGTGTAGAGACACAACCATTCGTTCGTACTTTCATTCATAGAATTTCTCATCGCGGTTAAATGGAGCTCATATCCTTGGCTCTTTACGGTGTTGGAAATGAGTTCGACGAAAAAAATCGTATAACGAAAATTAGTCGGAAGGGTAGTATAGTCTCCGTCGATACAGCGAGTAAATCTTTCCTTAGACTTTTATCCACGCTGTATACAGACGGGGACTACACAAACACACATGGCGAATAACGGAGTAGCATATGGGGTCGTACCCCTCGTCCTCAATATCGCACTGCAGCCCGATCCACATAACCCCAGCATGGCCAATGCCTCGCGGACCGAATTTCTTCGGATAGCAAGCTGTTAAGCAGACAAGCGCATCATATTATAGTGAGAGAGTGTGGAAGCCGAGGCGGGTTATCTCTCGCGTTCCCGTCTCAGTTCGGCTCTGAAAACCCACCCATTGGCGTAGCAGTCGCTTTGTAGGGCGCCACCACCCTGGCCGTAGCCATAACCCTTCGGTCCGAATCTCTTTCCGTAGCATACTGCAGAGAACATCGGTTAAAGGTATCTGGTCGTTTTGGCCTGGTTGCCTGACGTCTACGCGGGACATCACGTCTCTGGACATGTTCCTTGCTCCTCATAACTTTATAATTCAATTTGACAAGTGAAAGTTTTGAAAATCGTGTGGCTCAGATGGCGCCTCTAGACAGAGAAGCTGGTCCACATAACCTCTTTAAATATATTAAATATCAATAACAAGACATATTGTTGAATTCCAACGTTTTATCACGTGTAATTCTCAAAACTTTGCAGCTCGTTTTAATAACAGTTGTTTTAAAATAGTTCTGTTTTCAACTTTGGTGGATGCTGACGAACACGTCCAGTACGCAGTGTCCGCTCTACAATCCCGATATCCTCACCTTTGCAGTAGATGTCCTTATCAGGACCTTCGCAGCAGTTGACGGAATCTAATCTCTTGGAGCAGTTGGCACATTTAAAACATTCCCTGTGCCATTGCTGCGTGGGAGACAAAGGGACGAGTGTTAGTCACCATTCGGATTCTAACGAGTCTTACGTTCTATACATATAGTTATTCCCAGGTTCATTTTTCTCAAGTGCACTCTAGTAAAAAAGATTGCCTGTAGACCTACGGATAAAATGGGACGAGGGCCGAGATTCGAAATAACAAAAATAAATTGAGGAACTTAACCCTTACGATCCAGGTTTTGGATAATTTGTAGAACACTTTGCGCCAGTGTGTATTTCTTTCTTTCTCTGGACGGACAAGTAGTGTTAACCACGATCACGAGAGGGGAATACAAATCCGGGGAAAGTAGAGAGAGTGTTTGGATTGCAAAAAGAGATACCTCGACAATATATTTCGCGATCGGGACCATCGCAATGAAGCGTCGAGTCCAGAGACCGGTGACAGACTTTGCACTTGTAGCATGACTTATGGTAAGCCTAATCACAAGAAGCAGGAATAACCATGGTGTGCCCGGCAACAGGCGAATTCTTCTCGCGTAATCGATCGATCTGCAAAGGGTCTTGGTGCCGCGACCCATATACCGAGTGTCCCTTTCAAACCTCTACGAGTAACTTCATCAACTTTCAACTGAATTAATTTTATAGAAACATAATATTTTTATAGTTTCTCCTTCTAATTTAATTTTGTCGATCGATTCGAAGGGGACGCCCGGTATACTCCGCTAGAGTTCATCGAACTTTTGATCTTGAAAATCAAAGATCACGGCGATATACTGAAAAAATGGCTCGTCACGTCTTGGGGTCATTCCAATTGGCCGGTGTCCGTAATATTACGTCAAGCATAATGGCTCTCAGACTTCATATTTTCAGATTTATCGCGCACCAAATTATCTTCAGTTTAAAATTAACCTCACAATTGCGCTGATCGTCAAACATCTTCAACAAGTATCCCAAAGTCTCTCGAAGATACTTTCCGAGTTCATTTCAGTGAGATGAATCATCCAGAAACTATACATCTTTGAGCTTCCATTGGTCGTCAAGACAGATTGGCAGCGGCCTAAGAAGGGCAATTAGCCTCCATCGGTTTAATCCTCGAACACGATACCCGGTTCCAAGTTATTTTCCAACATCGAAGCATGTCCACTCGGCCAGTTGGCTCGTCGCCAAGCTCTATAAAGACAGAAAAGTTTCTGGGCCGGCACCAACGGCAACAAGCTCGCACCGCTCATTCTCCACTCTGACGTTTTTTTCCCTCACATTGTTATGAAATGTACCAGTTTCGTCATACGGCAAGATTACGGAGGATACTTTACAGTCCATGAGCCATTGGCAACGTGTCAGCCAGGTGGTCCGGTCAATTTTAGCATCGAATTACGCCAGGCCACCCTCATATTCGCTTTCACTCCTTTGAAAACAGCCTTGATCAATTTGACATAACTGCGTTTGATGTTATTTTGTGATACATTCGTAGAGTTCCGCAGTACTCGCTGTACAGTTGGAGAATGTAGTTTTTGGTATAGTTGGAAGTACATCATACAGCTGGGTTTGGAGATGTACATTAGTATAATTGGGTTTGAAGATTTGGTATGTTGGTTTGATGTATTGTAGATGTACTTGGGTTTGGAGATGTACCTTCGTGTAATTAGGTTTGAAGATGTGGTATGTTGGTTTGATGCATTGTGGATGCAATTGGGTTTGGAGATGTGTGTCGGTATGATGCATTGTGGGTGCAGTTGGGTTTGGAGATGTATGTTGGTTTGATGTATTGTGGATGCACTTGAGTTTGGAGATGTACCTTCGTGTAATTAGGTTTGAAGATGTGGTATGTTGGTTTGATGCATTGTGGATGCAATTGGGTTTGGAGATGTGTGTCGGTATGATGCATTGTGGGTGCAGTTGGGTTTGGAGATGTATGTTGGTATGATGCATTGTGGATGCACTTGGGTTTGGAGATGTACCTTCGTGTAATTGGGTTTGAAGATGTAATATGTTGGTTTGATGCATTGTGGGTGCAGTTGGGTTTGGAGATGTATATTGGTATGATGCATTATGGGTGCACTTGGGTTTGGAGATGTACCTTGGTATAATTAAGTTTGAAGATGTATGTTATTATGATTAAGTTTGAAGATGTGGTACGTTGATATAACTAGGTTCAAAGATGTGGTACGTTAATATAACTAGGTTTAGAGATTGGTACAATTGATTTGATCGTGTCTATAGATTTGGAGACACAGTACAATAGTGTACTTGACTTCATGTCCCTTTAGTTATGAAGATATCTTGAATTGCTACCACCAAATTCATACATGTATCACAAACAGAGCCCAGCTTAATTGAACCCTGCTCTACCAGCCTTCTCTTAAGCTGTACTTCAACAGCAACGTAACCAGCCATTTTATTTCAGTCTTCCAAAACGTCGACGGATAAGATTAGCCATGAGTAATCGCTATATCGAAGAAAATTCGAGCTACCGTTTTAATAATTAATAACCCGAATATTTCGTAACTCGAAGTATCAGGTTTCCGGGACGAAAATAAGAGCCGGCCATCTCCCGATGACGTAAGACATTGTTCTCCGCGGAATTATCGCGGCACCAAGGTGTAACGCTAGCGCAACGAGAAAGAAAGTATTTTGAGATGTAAACTCACCCTTCCTCGAGCCAGCATCTGCTCGGCCGCGTACACGTATCCTCCGCATCGAGGGCAACCCTCTCCTTCCGGTGCCTTCGCGATGGCTCGTGGCTCCAGAACGGCGTTTGATCCTCTCGAAAGTTCCCTAAAAATGCGTCCTTTGTAGAGATCGTCGTTGGTTGTTTGGTTAGCGTGTGTGGTCGAACTGCTAGGGACTCCCAGCAGCCGTGAACCACAGCCCCATTCAAATGACCCGATACATGGTGCGGTTTGACTAGTTAAATTTGACTGGTTAAATTTGTTTGAGGCCTTCGGTAGGTTTCTCTGAGAGACTTCTGAACTGGTGTTACAGGTTAAGTTAGGACTCAGGGTTATTTTTGTGTTCTTTCAAAAATTTCCGAAGCGATCTCTAACTACAAAAATGCCCACAAGTGGAAACAGTATCCTCGAACAAACTTAACCTCAAAAAAACGGTTACGAAGAGGCCGTAGGACACGGAGGGCTGGGAATCACCAGGGACCAAGCGGATAAGACAGAATAAAAATGAAAGAAAAAAAAACACCACTGCAAAAAAAGAAGAAGGAAAGTCGAGCGGCGAACACGAACGAGGCGGGACACTCGAAACCCGTTTCTACGATCGGTTCACCGTTCGAAAAAAAACGATAACCAGAAACCCGTCACAGAAATAACAACCCGGCGATTAGCGTGTTAGGCACATGTTAGTATTAGGTTAGTATCCCCCTTTCCCCTTTGCAACCACGCAAAAGTGGCTTCCGCCGAGCCCCGAGAGGAGAGCCAAGAAGCGGATCACGTGTGTGTGTGTATGTGTGCGTGTGTGTGTGCATGTACGAAAACTAAACAATAATACACGTTTACTCGAAAGAAAATAAAAGAAACAAGTGAGGACAGAGCGTGAGGGAGGGTGGGACACATGGGAGCTGGCCACATGTGTGTCTGTGATAACGGTATGACGATATAGCGTGGTCGTAAAATTACTCAGCCGATTCGAGCAGAAGGCGCGATATTCAAGAATTTTTAGAAAATAAGAACGTTCGAAAATAATCCTTCGGAACTTGTTTCGTTCCAAATCTTCGAACTTTCATTTGATTCTAAAATTTTCTAAAGTCGTTACACATGTTTTCATTCTTAATATGTAAAATTTCAGAAGTTATAAATTTTTAAATTTTAAGATTTCTCCCTAATTTTGTAAGAGCGCCCCTTATAACTCAGCGTATATTATTTGTGATCTTACAATTGCACCAAGTTTGAACGAAATGTAAATGTGCCGTAACGTAACGATTTCACGCGAGAATTTACGACCTCGCTATACCCCGACCGAGTACACAGGGCGGTAACGGAACAAGCCAGGGAAGAAAGTGTAGAAAGAAAGAAAGTCTCGTTACAAAAAAGTAGGTGCGGTAGCCAATTGAAATAAAAAGAAAAAGAGACCGATCGTGGAAGCCTGACAGACAAAAGCTTCTACTCATCTACGTAATTCATTTCTACACGAAGCGAGCATACTAAACAATCCTAACAAGCACCCAACGAGTTAACGTGTTAGCAAGGTTAGGAGGTTACGTGTGTGTATCGATAAGAAAAATAAATAAAAGGTACGAGAGGCCGTGCAGGTGTGCGGATCGATAAATCGTATATAGAGAGAGTGATGGAGACTACAAAAAAAAAAATATTGAAAAAAACGAATGAAGAAATAAGCTCGTTTCTTTGGTTCATGAGAAGAAGGCGAAAGAAGAGACATAGGCAGAGATAGACAGAGAGAGGCGGAATCAGACTCGGTGCTCACCATTTTGATTTTGTTACTCGATAATTCCCTTTATCACGAGGGGTGCGCGCAGGCTCGTGATAAAGCGACAACATATATTGTTCAATGGGCCTCCGGTTGGCTCGCACTCGACGGGGCTGGCGGGGGTAGTTTAAGGTACATATATATGTTCTTTTTTATCTTTGTCGTGCTTTCTTTCTTTAAAGGGGTCCAGGGTACGGGGAAACTGGGTTAACGGACAGCCTGGCAGGTTCATCCATGAACCTTGGGTGCTTGGTACTCCTTTCCGTTTTGCGACGCCAGGCCGAAATTTCGTGCACTCTTTTCTATTATTCTCTGTTTTCTATTCCTTTTTTCTTCTTTTTTTGGGTTATAGAGATTTATATACATAACTACGGGTACGTACACCGGTGCACAACGTGTTCGATAGACTTCACCAGTAAATTTCGTAAATTTCAATTAACCCCCTTTTCCAAATGGGAACGTTATACCCACGAATCTCCACGGAAGATCTCACACTTGAATTACGAGACATTAGTTCTAACCTCAAAAATAACCGTAGGGAAATCGGAAAGATTGAGAAGAGTAAAGTGAGGTTATGGTCGAACACTTTCGTGCAGCCGTGTACATAACGAAGCAGGTTGTGTATGCACCTACAGTGGGTCAAAAATGTTTTCGACACAGTGGATCCATGGATCAAAATTTCTCATCTGTACCATATTATCGTACCATATTACCGTCAGCTTTGAATAGAAAAAGCTCGCGGAAAGACTACATAAGAAGACTACATACAAGATTACTACATACACAAGAATTTTAGGCAAGAACATTTTTGTCCGACCGTAAATGCGTTCGCAGCTCGCGAAGCATTGTCAATGAAGAACACCAGGATCCTTCTGTTTTTTTTTCTTTCCCTTTTTTCGTCTTTTAATGGCACTTATTACAGATGGTACAAATGATTCTATAAACTAGCGTAATATGTAATGTAATCGCATAAAGGAAACAAAAAGGAAAATAATCGTCAAGGAGAAACAAGTATATACATATGTATATATTCGCGGTGCGTGTGTATATATATGCATATACACGAAAAAAAAGATTCGATCCGACACGGACAAAGAAAAACGGACAGAGAAAGGCAACGGAAAAGTAAAAAGAGAAGAAACAGAAACGGGGAGTTAAACGTGACAAAAAAAACGAGATAGACAGTCGAACTAGATTAAACACAGTTAATTATCATTATAATAAACGTCGTCGTCGTCGTCGTCGTAACATCATCATCATCATCATCACCATCACCATCATCGTTGTCGGTGCCGATGGACGACGAAAGGAAAGGTTATAGGTTAGGTTAAGGATACACAATACACAGAGATAGACTGCGCACTCTGCGAGGAGTTGGTTTCCGTTATGGCGGTGTACTCTACTGCGTGGAGCTCAAAAGAGGATTCAACTTTGGACAGGTTCGCCCCCAAGTACGAATAGGGAGCTCAGGAGTTTGCTTACGCCATATTTGCCCTGAAGACGGTACGAGTAATAGGATACTTTGAAAGGACCGTTGCTAGATTTTGCAGAACCCAGAAATTCCCGTATGAAACCACATTTAACCCCAGAGATATCTTAGGTTGCAGCTCCCCATAAGGGCGCCCAGTCTATCCGTACATGTCCGTGGGTTGAAATTCACGAAATAACAAACAGGTAATAAGAAAAGGTGAAATGCCGGCTCGTAGAGCCTCGAACGGGAACGGGGAACAGACATTCCAAGACAGAAGAGGTTGGGATGTGGACAATTTACACGGTCGTAGTGTACACGTGCACGAAGATGCTCCACTCAGCAGGGCTGTTCCATCCGGTTCGTTCTTCAGGGCACGATTTGACAAGAAGAGGATCATGCTGTTGGATCTGTAGGCTGTCTGTTGATTCGACGGTCGATTTCGTTGGTCTAATTCATTCTCTTGGTTAACAGGGGACAGGGTCGGGGGTCGGGGATAAGGGGTTTTTTTTTGAAGGGGTGCGGGTGAGAAGAGGAAGGATGGACGACGGCTGGTGCACTCACTCGCTACTTTTCAAGTGTTCGCCCTGATCCATGGACAGGCAACCAGCGCCACCACCGAAGCCGTATCCTTTAGGGCCGAACTTGCGACCGTGGCACACTTTGCAAAACAGCTCACCCTCGTGCTCGGAGCAGTTTGTCGAGTCGAGGAGTTTGCCGCACAGACCTGCAACAGACACACGGTTCTTTGGCTGCTGCCAGGGCAGGAAATATTTGTCTTCAAACCCGATTTATTACATTTCAGAGGAAGACCTGGATTTCAATCAACTTGATTCTTTGCGTTCAAACTTCGAGGCTAGGATAAGGTTCAGTTAGGTTAGGTTCGTAATAACCCTTAACAATTAACCCTGAAGACTTTCAAGATTGCTCAGATATTCTCAAGTTTAATATAATTCATCTTCAAATTTCCATTTTAGATCGATCATTGAACATAAGACATTTATAACGTTAGATATTGTAGCACACTTATAGAACTCGAGTTAAAAATTGATAAAATCGTTCGAATTTTTTTAAGTACTTCAAATATTCGATTTCTATTTTAAGCGAAGGGAAATCTTTTGCGAGGGGTCGTTGCACCTTTAGCTTCGACGCTGTGGTTCCAATTGAACGCTGGCTAGCATACAAAACTAATTAAGGCCAAGACAAACCATCCGGGACTGGCATAAAATTTATTTATAGCGCCGTCTAAATTTAAAAATGGCCGATGGTGTTTTTGCGCAACGACTCGTGTCGCTTGCTACGTTCATTGTAGAATAATTAATAAAATCATGTTGTAAGGTGGATGTAAAGGATTAGACCTCATTGTTAGGTTAGGACACCACTGGTTTAGGGTCACTGTTAAGTTCCATTACAGTTTTGGTAAGTTAAGTTAAGGTTTCCGATATAGGGTTGGGTTAGAACCCACGTTGGGTATACCCTAACCTAAGAAAACTGAACAACGTTCATATATAATTTTTAAAACTTGAAAATAACCTAATAAATATTACTACTGAATTTGAAAAGTTAACAAAATTTGAAAAGAACGAACAGTGTACTTGAAAACATTTGCCATCTCTATCGAGTTATCCCATTGAATCATTCAAGAACATGTAATATGCTCTTCAGATAGACTGTAACATTGAAATGCAAACACTTACCACACTTGAAGCACATCTTGTGCCATTTCAGCCCTCCGGCAACTCGTTCTTCCGCGGCGTATACGGATTTGCCGCATTTGGGGCACTTAGGGTGCTCTACTGGTTTGAAAGGCATTTTGTTTTTACTGAAAAAGAAACAGAGAAAATTCTATTAATAATACGATCAAACAGTAACATTTCTCTTAATTTATTCTAGCGATGAATTTAAGATGACTCGACTGTCGACAAAATTCGATGCATTTCTATTCTTGCAAGCTTCTTCAGAATTTTCTCGAATTCCATCAATCATGGCTGTCCCATTCAGACCTCGTGAATGATCGCTAGTTAAAAATTTAAAGAATTCTCCCTCATCTACCGTTGGTGAATTAATTTAGGTTCAGTGAATTTACATTGTGAACAAACTGAATCACTTATTCACTAACCTAACCTCTCCATATTAATTTAAAAATCGATCATGTACAGCGAAACATGAGCCATAAAATTCTTCAAGATAAATTACCAACTAGACTAGCCTAACACAAGGTCAAATTAATCAAAAATACAATTTAAAGAATTGTTTCAGACGGACATGAACGCACATAAAAAAAAAAGATAAATAATTGACTCGGAATTTTGTTATGGCTGCAGGTGTATAAACAAGGATTAACATCTCAACAGCGATAATTCAACCTGCGATTACTTAATCGTACGAGGAACGTAAACAATTTCAGCCTCCGCCCTACTACCGGTAATCTATTTTCGTGACGGGTTTGAAGTCCGACATGTGTCGGTCACAAACACCAACAGGAAACCGGAGAAGCTGAAGAATTCGCGGCCAACTCGATTCACAAACTCGCTACAATAATTTTAATAAAAACCGTTCTGTAGATTCACAGAGGAGACAATGAACCCTTACTGCTAATTCTATCAGAACGTCAGAGTCCTTGAATAATTCCTCTGTGAAAGTAAGAATAACGGGACTTAAATTATCCTTTGAATGTTGAAGAGGAAATTCTACCGCATATGAATGAAGTGAAAATCGTGAAGCACAGAAAGGGGATTAAGAAAAAAATTATAGTTAAAGCTAACCTAAAAACATTCAGAGCCTCATCCCCAAAAAATAGGTTGCTTAGATTCAATAAAGGTTTTGAAAAAAAATTGTAGTTAAATTAAAACTAACGCAAAAACATTCAGAGCTTCATCCCCAAAAAATAGGTTGCTTAGATTCAATAAAGGATTCGAAAAAAAATTGTAGTTAACCTAAAAACATTCAGAGTCTTATCCCCAAAAAATAGGTTGCTTAGATTCAATAAGGGATTCGAAAAAAAATTGTAGTTAACCTAAAAACATTCAGAGCCTCATCCCCAAAAAATAGGTTGCTTAGATTCAATAAAGGATTCGAAAAAAAAATTGTAGTTAAATCAAAGCTAACGCAAAAACATTCAGAGTCTTATCCCAAAATTAACGTAGTTTATCTTAAAAAATTTCATACAATCTTTCAGATAATTTTAAACGATACCTATGATCTACCTATGTTAAATTATTTACAACTAACTTTCCCCAATCACGTGATACAACGCGAAACAACAACAGTAGCCATAAACAACGAGATACCTAACAGGGATGCACCTCTGCAGGAAGTTAAACTCTTTTGGAACAGTCTATAGCGGCACCGGTATTAGAGAGACTAGAGAGACTCGGAGAGAGCTGCAAGAGAGACGGAGGATTCTATATCCGTGCAGACGCGAGGCGGACCGCGAGGCCGTATTAGGGAAGGTGCTAGATTCTCCACAACGCGGTCGCCATTACCCCTACCTTCCAAACCTGCACATCCTCTGGGTTCTCTCAACCCATGCATATATTATTCCCAATCATTGTTTAATCAGAACATAGCAATGATCAAATTTAAATCCTTAGTTGATATAAAGTATGGGAAGGATTTATACAAGTCTAGGTTCTAAACCCTCTTAGGATGAGACCCACCTCTGATATGAGGTCTATCAGACCTCCAACCGGACCTCCCTAAGTTTTCTTTCAACTTTCTCCACATGGTGAAAGGAACTGCGTTAAGTTGACTACTGATGTGATATGACAAGGGTCATATTGTCAAGGGTCACTGGGGCCTCTTTGATCTGATGCCTCCATTAATCCTCGTACGCTATTTCTTGTAATTTATTTTTTATTGTTTGCATAAAAAGTTTGGTACACCCCGTAAGAGAATACCATATATTCCGTAAGGGCTAACATAGAAGTGTAAAGTTAGGAAGCATTACATCACAAGCGGTACCGCGTGTGTACTAAATCGAGTCCGGCTCAGATTTCATGGGTTTTCTGCGAACGAATTCCACGCTATCGAAGTGATCAGATTTCCGAAACTCATAAAACCTCTAAAAGCCCACTCACTCACCAAAGTGTAATCAGAATCCGAAAAGCCACAAGCAAGTCTCACACTTGATAGCTAGAATTCAAAGACTTATGAAGATTTTCAGACTCGAAGAAAAGTTCTCAGACTTGATACTCCACCGTAAAAAATTCGAAAGCGAATCCTGAGTAGCTGGGACAGATCGCGGACACTGGTGTGTTGGTACTCACCACCGTTATCGGTCGAAGTCACAGGTGAAAATGGAAACTCGGGTAGGAGACAGGCGTGACGATGAAAAAACACCGAGAAGCACTCTACACCGCACTAATACTGGATTCGAATGGCTGTTCACGCGTCGTGACCGTCCTAGTCATAGCCAGGGGTTTGCACACGGCACGTGTGCATCGGAACGTCAGTGCTGTTGACGACAGCGTCGCGGTGGCAGAGGGAGTACTAGCCGCCTTCCATCTAGCGGGGGTGTTATACTATACTTCTTCGACTACTGTATGCCTAACAGATTACCCTTCTTCGAGTTTGTGTCATCAAATTTTTCACTAATTTGCTGCGTATCAGTGAAGCTGTGTGAAGCACTGGTGCTCCTCGACTGATCAAACATATTTCAAATTTTTTGACTCTTATGAGTCTTATGATCCTTGAGATTTTACTGACGATAAACTTTGACATGGATTTTGAAAGAGTGATTGAAGAGGATGACTAAATTGGTCCTTCAAATTTGGTGCTAATGAATAAACTTTAATATGGGTATATTTTAAAATTTCGTACGAGTAATCTTGAAGTCCCTATGACTTGCTCATCCTTCAGATTTGGTGCTAACGAATAAACTTTAATATGTATATATTTTAAAATTTCGTACGAGTAATCTTGAAGTCCCTATGACTCGCTCATCCTTCAGATTTGGTGCTAACGAATAAACTTTAATATGGATGTATTTTGAAATTTCGTACGAGTAATCTTGAAGTCCCTATGACTTGCTCATCCTTCAGATTTGGTGCTAACGAATAAACTTTAATATGGATATATTTCTAAATTTCGTACGAGTAATCTTGAAGTCCCTATGACTTGCTCATCCTTCAGATTTGGTGCTAACGAATGAACTTTAATATGTATATATTTTAAAATTTCGTACGAGTAATCTTGAAGTCCCTATGACTTGCTCATCCTTCAGATTTGGTGCTAATGAATAAACTTTGATATGGATGTATTTTGAAATTTTATATAAGTGGTCCTTGAAGTTCCAAAGCCTTGAAAGTGTAATTGATCACTGTTGAATCCTTGATCATGTCTCTCAGGTTGAAGCAGTAATTTCTTTGAATACCAAGGTTCTCTAACCTCCATTTACCTTTTCAATTTTTTATTAATCCTCCAAAAAAAAAATATGACAGAAAGGAAGCTAGAATTCGAACAATAATATACAACAATCGATTCATTGATCTGTGAATTTGAAAGAATTTCGTTAGACAAATATACAGAGGTCCGCCATTTTGCGGTGGCATCTGTAAATGG